ACCTTGACCAAGTCATTTAAAGTGGCATATTTTTTATTTTGTACGTTTAGATCTCATATTTTAACTTCCCTTCCTTAGATAAAATTTTGCTTACATAGCAAATGGAAGAGCCAAAGATTTAAAAGTCAGAGGACTTTAGGAATCATCTGGTATCTATTCTGTTTCTTCTACAAATATTCACCTGGCACTGTTTTGGTCTTGAGAATATATTGAAATCTCTGGCTTCATAGAACTTACAATCTTTTATGAAAAGAAGGTTGTGAAGAAACTGTAATCTTTTTTTTTTTTTAAAGATTTTATTTATTTGACAGAGAGAGACAGTGAGAGAGGGAACAAGCAGGGGGAGTGGGAGAGGGAGAAGCAGGCTTCCCGCTGAGCAGGGAGCCCTATGCAGGGCTCGATCCCAGGACCCTGGGACCACGACCTGAGCCGAAGGCAGATGCTTAACGACTGAGCCACCGGGGCGCCCCAAGAAACTAATCTTATTTGAAGATTCCTCACTTCATTTTGGTAGGTCTTAATATGCTCAAAAGAAAAAGGATCTGATTCCTTATATGCCAAATTGTAATTCAGAAACTGTAAAGCAGGAGGAAAGGGACCCTGAATGAGTGAATTAGGGCAGTGACTCTCAAAATTTTCTGTGTATGAATCAACTAAAGTTCTTGTTAAAATGTAGATTCTGTTCAGTAGATCTAAGGTAGGACCAGAGATGATGCTTCCAGTCTGTGAAACACATTTTTTAAGATTTTATTTATTTATTTGACAGAAAGAGACACAGCGAGAGAGGGAATACAAGCAGGGGGAGTGGGAGAGGGAGAAGCAGGCTTCCTGCCGAGCAGGGAGGGGCTCGATCCCAGCACCAGGAATCAGGACCTGAACCCGAAGGCAGACGCTTAATGACTGAGCCACCCAGGCGCCCCTGTGAAACACATTTTGAGTAGCAAGGAATTTGTATATAATTAAGAGAAAAGAATAGTGTGCTCCCATTTTGAGAAGAATGTTTTGGAGCTATGGAACACAGACTTGGAGTTGTGAGTAGCACACCACACTTGGCTTTGGTGAAATGAAATTATAATAGCTGTTAATGGTCACATATTAAGAGGGGTATTAAGGAGGTAACCACCTATTTTTTGAATGGCATTCAGAATTGAGATTGGATGGTGGGGGGGTCTAAAATGTTTGAAAAGATACTAGGAAGTGAAAGAGTTGAAGATCTTCAGGTATGATGAAAGTAAATATCTAGTCGGATAAACAGAATTTATGAGTTAAGTTTTGACTAGGAAGAATTAATTTGTAATTGGAAAGATTTCCTCCCCTTTTTATGCTTACTCTAATTGGCGTAGTTATTGTTTAAAAAAATGTAAAAATAAATACTTTTTTAAACTAGATAATATAGTTTTTTTCCATAGGCATATTTTATGTGGAAAGTATGTCAGATTTCTTTGTTTTCCAGGTCTGAATAAAGCTTAAATGTTGTGCTTAAGTTGCCCTTCTCCGATCTGTTCCTCTGGGGACAGCTTCTTGGAACATAAACTAAACTGGGAGTTCATTTTTCTTCATAGAATTAGCAGAAGACTCTTAATCTTGGAGTGGTATAAAATGTTCAGTGGGTATTGGACATTTATCCGTAGGGAAAAATTTGGCAAACCAAATCTTGGAACCAGCAGCCATTTTTAGTGTTGTGAATTCACAGTGCTAGTGTTTCCATTTGTGTTTTTAGAAATTTAAAATTTGGGACACCTGGATGGCTCATTTGGTTAAGCGTCTGCCTTTGGCTTAGGTCATGATCCCAGAGTCCTGGGATTGAGCTCTGCCTCAGGCTTACTGCTCAGCAGGGAGCCTGCTTCTCCCTCTCCTCCCTACTTGTTGCTATCTCTGTCTCTGTCTCTCAAATAAATAAATAAAATATTTTAAAAATAAAAATAAATAAAATTAGGATATTACTTATTCATGTTACCACTTATTAATAATACCACCACATTGGTGTGTAGGGCCTTCAAGGGGAGGGAATATATCATGTATTTGTGTTTAGTGCACATATTAAAGGACTTCTTGTTCTGTTAAAAAAAAATCGTTAGAAGCAAATACTCCTAGTTCTGGTAAAATCTTTTTTTTAATTTATCAGAGAGAGAGCACAAGCAGGGGGAGCAGCAGGCAGAGGGAGAAGCCGGCTCCCTGTGGAGCAGGGAGCCCGAGGTGGGACTCTATCCCAGGACCCTGGGATCATGACCTGAGCCGAAGGCAGACGCCTAACCGAGTGAGCCACCCAGGCGTCCCTTTTTTTTTTTAAATAAAGTTATTTAGTTAAATAAAAATTAAAAAGGGGGGGCTCTGGAGTCATGCAGCTGTATTTTTTCTTTTTTCTTTTTTTAAAAATCCTAACCCTACCTCTTAGTAGTTTCATGATATTGGAAGTAACTTGACTTTTCTGTGTCCAGCTTTCTTTATTATAAAATGATCATATCGGGGCACCTGGGTGGCTCAGTTGTTAAGTGTCTGTCTTCGGCTCAGGTCATGATCCCAGGGTCCTGGGATCGAGCCCCCCATCGGGCTCGCTGCTCGGCAGGAAGCCTGCTTCTCCCTCTCCCTCTCTCCCTGCTTGTGTTCCCTCTCGCTGTGTCTCTCTCTGTCAAATAAATAATTAAAGTCTTTAAAAAAAAAGATCATATAAATAGTTCATTTCATAAGGGTTCTTGTCAGGATTAAGTGAGAAATCCTGGAAATCCATGAACGTTCTTAGAAGAGTTTTTGGCACATAGAAAGTGCTTAATTAATGTTAGCTGCTTCTGCTCTTCTTATTCAGGAACACCACTACTGCATTGTCTGGTGAATTTATTTTGCTTTTTATTTATTTTATTATTTTTTTAGAAGATTTTATTCATCTGAGACAGAGAGATACAGAGAGCATGAACAGGGGGAGAGGCAGAGGGTGAGGGAGAAGCTGGGAGTCTGCTGCAGGGCTCGATCCTAGGACCTGGAGATCATGACCTGAGCCGAAGGCAGATGCTCAACCATCTGAGCCACCCAGGCGCCCCTATTTCGCTTTTTAAAACAGGCCTGCATATTCAGGTTCCATTATGACAGGTTGGGTACTTAAAATATATACTTAAAATTAGTTTTGAATGAAAACTTAAGAATTTTTATTTTCAGCTACTATAACTTTAATTCATACAAAAAGAAGCCATTCATTCAGTCTTTTTTTCTAATAAACTGTTAATACCTGCTATTTATAAGGAATTGCACTAGGTGCTAGGAATATAAATGGAGCAAACTTCGTTGTACCCCTTCAGTTGTTCAGAGGTTAATGGAGAAAGATACCCCTGAGTATAAGTCAGTGTTGTAAATGATCCCTTTTGTGCTGGATCATTAATACATGATCATTTTTAAAAAAAATATTTATTTATTTGTCAGAGACAGAGAGGGAGAGCACAAGCAGGGGGAGAGGCAGAGGAGAAGCAGGCCTCCCGCAGACCAAGGAGCCCAATGTGGAACTCGATCCCAGGACCCTGGGATCATGACTCGAGCCTAAGGCGGATGCCTAACCAACTGAGCCAGCCAGGCATCCCTACATGTTAAATTTTTAATTTGTCTTCTGGAAAGTCTATTAGCCAAACTTTGGGTGGATTGGCCTTTGTTTTTAATATCTTATCTATTTACTGCAACTCTTATCTGTAATCATTCCTATTTTTTGCAAATCAGGAAATTGAAATTTAAAGAGGTTAAGTAATTCCTTATACAACTATAAAACTCACTTTAAAATCCTACTTAATTTGAGGCGCCTGACTGGCTCAGTTGGTGGAGCGTGCAACTCTTGATCTTGGGGTTGTTTAAGCTCCATGTTGGGTGTAGAGATTACTTAAAAAAAAAAAAAACTTAAAAAATAAACTCCTACTTAATTTAGAAACTCATTCATTCCACTGTTTTACTCTTATAAGGTGCAAAGCCTCTATTAGAAAACTTAACCCGTTATATTGTCTTTGGGGTTTATGTATCTGCTTTCCTATTAGATTGGGAGAATTTTTAGAGCAGGGACTAATCTTATTTATTTTTGGGCTCCCCTAGCAACTAGTAGAGTGCCTGTCACATGTTAGGTACCCAAAAAATACTAGTTGAGTAGCGAATGGATACATAGAATGTTAGAAATAGAGGGGATTTTAGAGCTCATGGAAATCATAGAGACACTAGAATTTCTAAAAAGAATTCTATATTGCTTACATAGGGCTACAGATTTTGATTTTGATTATTTATAAAACAACTAGTACTGTCTATCACATCGTCTCATAAAAGAAGTCATTTTAATACCAGAAAAAGTAGGAAGGACAGTCTCAGAGTAAGCATAATTGGTAACTTTACACCCATTTTTGGTCATGGCTGGCATCTATTTAAAGATTAGATTTCAGGAACCATTATCTAATGCAACCCTTTTCTTTTAGAGATGGTGTATCTGACCTCAGAGAAGTATCAAAGTTCTTACAGCAAGGCAGAATAAGTGAGTTTGGAACCCAGGTCTTCTGACTACCAGCCCAAAATTTTGATCCAGTCACCTTAGTCTTCATCACCTGGTGACACTTAGGCCCAGAGAATTTGTTCCTTAAGTAGGATCATATATCTAGTAAGTAGAGCTGGGACTTGAATCCACATTACCCAACTCCACTTTCATTAAAACCTGTGCATTACTTACATGTAATCTTAACCCATTCTACCAGCCCCCATTCAGTCGCAAAGATGGAATTATAAATGCCTGAAAGGAAGGGTTGGGGGGTGCCTGGGTGGCTCAGTCTTAAGTGGCTGACTTCAGCTCAGGTCATGATCTTGGGGTCCTGGGATCGAACCCTACGTCCGGCTCTGTGTTCAGTGGAGAGTCTGCTTCTCTCTCTCCTTCTGCCCCTCCCCCTGCTCGTGCTCGCTCTCTCTTGCACACACTTTCTGTCTCTCTGAGATAAATAAAATCTTAAAAAAAAAGTTTTATATTTAGCATTTTCTTTCCTTAAAAATTTCAGATTTGGAGCTTCAGCAACTTCTTCCAGGGAGGAGGTCCAGTGTAGCTGCTGTTGCGACCCAAGATCTTGATTCACATCCATAGATTGGAATATTGGTGTACCAGCCATCCTCAGACCCCTCACTAAGGACAGGTATGTGAAAGAGATAGTGAAGATAAGTAGAATGAATGCTAATGTTTTTCCTTCCTATTTCTTGTTAGATGAAAGCAGTTGGCTGCCTTTAAAAATATAGCCTTTTATCCTGGTAAAAACAAGGCATTTGGAATCTTGAGTAGGGCAAAATATTTTCTTGATGGTAAAATATGTGTCAAAATGTTAACAGTGATGAAACTTAGCGTAATTAAAAGTTTTCTTTTTTCTCTTTTTGTGTATTTTTCCAAATTGTATTTATGAGCTTGTGTTATCTGTTGTTACATAACAAACCACCCCTAACTTAGTGGTTTAAAACATACCAGTCATTTATTTTGCTCATGTATCTGTAATTTGGATAAGACCTGCTTAGTGGGGACAGCTTGTCTCTGTTAATATGTGGCCTGAGATGAAGTAGCTGGAAGGGTGGGGGCAGCTTGATGGCTGGGCGCTGGAATCATTTGAAGGCTTGGCACGCATGTATGTGTCTGGTGGTTAATGCTAGCTTTTGGTAGGGACTGAAGCCTGGGCTGTTAGCCACAACACCTACACATGACCTCTCCTTTTGGCTGCTTGGCTTCCTCACAGCATGGTGGCTAGGTTCTAAGAAAGAGCATCCCAAGAGAGCAAGGTGAAGTTGCATGGCATATTTGATTTGGTTTTGGAAGTCACATAGTGGTACTCTGCTTTTTTCTGTTGGTTGAGGTAGTCCTAAAGGTCCACCTAGGTTCAGAGGTGGGGTAGACATAGACCACACCACTTGAAGGGAGGAATATCAGCATCTCATTAGAAGAAGAGCACATGGGATGGAATCTGCCATTGGGCCATCTTTGGAGAATGTAATGTGCCACAGTTTGTATTACTTATTTATTTATTTTTATTTTTAAAAAAGATTTTATTTATTTGAGAGAGAGTGAGAGAGAGCATGAGAGGGGAGAGGGTCAGAAGGAGACGCAGACTCCCCATTGAGCGGGGAGTCTGATGTGGGACTCAATCCTGGGACTCTGGGATCATAACCTGAGCCGAAGGCAGTTGCTTAACCAACTGAGCCACCCAGGTGCCCTCAGTTTGTATTACTTTTAAGATAAGAGTATAAATAATGTGTGTAATATATAAAAAGAGGAATATTGACAGAAAATTATGAGTCCAGTAAGAATTTTGTGTGCTTTTCCTGTCTAAGTAGAATATGATGCTGAAAATAAGGTGTCTAAACAGGAAGAGGTGAAATAGATTTTGAATTTTCTTTTGTATCGGTAAAGCAGCAAACTGAAAAATGGAGACAAAAATTTGTAAGCAAGATGCAAAATAAGATTTGTAGTTTGGATTTTTTGTTTTTGAAAAAATGCTTTTATTTTAAAGGCTACTTTTTTTCTTATTTTGATAATTGGAGAATTATTTGGGAAACTGGTTTCTAATAGGATAGATGTGAGAAAGTAGTGTCATTGTTACTGTATGCATCAAGTTTGTTTTGTCTATCTGCTTATTTTAAGGAAAACTATGTAATCATTTTTAGGATTGTACAATTTTACCTGCTAAATTTCTGGTAAGTATTTTAAAATTTCAGTGGAACAAGAAAACTTGCAAAGTTGTAGAATATTTGGTTGTATTGTTATTTTTAAAAAAGACTTACTTGGGGCGCCTGGGTGGCTCAGTCATTAAGCATCTGCCTTCGGCTCAGGTCAAGATCCCAGGGTCCTGGGATCGAGTCCTGCATCGGGCTCTTCCCTCAGTGGGGAGCCTGCTTCTCCTTCTCCCTCTCTCCCTGCTTGTGTTCCTTCTCTCCCATTGTCTCTTTCTGTCAAATAAATAAATAAAACCAAAAAAAAAAAAGACATTTATTTATTTATTTATTTGAGAGAGAGAGCATGAGTGGGGGAGGAGCAGAGGGGGAGAATCTCAGGCAGACTCCCTGCTGAGCAGGGTGCCCGACTCGGAGCTCAATCTCAGGACCCTGAGGTCATGACTTGAGTTGAAATCAAGAGTTGGTTGCTTAACTGACTGAGCCACCTAGATGCCCCTATTTGGTTGTATTATTGATCACACTTAACTCACTGATTATATGAATTCCCTTTGGCAGGTTTCAGTGTAGCTAGTACTTAATTTCTGGATGTAATGGGATAATATTTTTAGGTAATCCTCTAAGTATACATGGAGATGTTGGTCCATTCACTATAGGTGGGAAATAAGCTATATAATAAGCTATAATTAATATATACCAGTATGTATGTGTGTATACACACACATACACACACACACACACTCATCTCTTAGGCCCAGAAATTTTTTTTTGGTGTCTAAATATGAGCCTAATATGGCAGAGGTGATTCAGTTCTATTTCCCAACTACTCACAGATATCTTACAGTGGAAAATGACTGAACCAGCTTTTGTGACAATAGAGGTAATATCAGGGGCGCCTGGGTGGCTCAGTTGGTTAAAGCGACTGCCTTCAGCTCAGGTCATGGTCCCGGAGTCCCGGGATCGGGTCCCGCATCAGGCTCCCTGCTCGGCGGGGAGCCTGCTTCTCCCTCTGACCCTCCCCCTTCTCATGTACTCTCTCTCTCTCATTCTCGCTCTCGCAAATAAATAAATCTTTAAAAAAAAAAAAAATAGAGGTAATATCAGAAGTTTGCCCTTAACTGTGAATAATCAGAATTGACTGAGTTTGTGAAACAATATATTTTAGTTCAAAGGTATAATAATTGGGAAAGCTGTTTTAATTTTTTTTTTCATTTAAAAACCTGATGTTTTCCAGTAGACATAGATTGGGAATAATGAGTAGTGTAAAATATTATGTCTTAAATAACAACTACAACAAATACATGTGTATATATACAAACATATATAAAGCCTGTGAGCATTAACTTGCCTTTCTTTTTGTTTTGTTTTAAGCATTTTTACAGCCCACTTTTGCTTTTAAGAAGTCTTGAGTAGGTAAATTGCTGATAACATCTTTTACAGGTTTATCTTGGCTTCATTCCGCAAGGCCTATGCCTGAGGGGATAAAAATCCCTTGAGTGAGTGAAATACTACTTTCTGACTGAAGCTAAAACAAACAACAATAAAAACTTCTAAAAACACCCTATAGAAATTGCAGATGTGCTGGTGTTTACTCTGTGGCACTCAATTCATGGAAGGAGGTAAATGATAAGGTTCTCTTGTGAAGATGAATGACTATTGGGGCACCTGGGTGGCTCAGTCAATTGGGCACCTGCCTTTGACTTGGGTCATGATCTTGGGGTCCTGGGATCGAGCCCCACATTGGGCTCCCTGCTCACTCAGCCAGGAGTCTGCTTCTCCCTTTCCTTCTGCCCCCCCCCCCGCCCCCCGCCCCGGCTCGTGCTTGCTTGCTCTCAAATAAAATCTTTAAAAAGATGAATGACTATGTAAATATTTTTTTAAAATACAAAAAAGATTTTTGAATAATTGTGGAAGGCAGAAATTATATTTCTTTGGGGTTAGTGGTTATCCTACTTATTCTGATTTCTTTTTTTTTTTAAAGATTTTATTTATTTATTTGACAGAGAGAGATAGCCAGAGAGAACACAAGCAGGGGGAGTGGGAGAGAGAGAAGCAGGCTTCTTGCTGAAGCAGGGAGCCTGATGTGGGGCTCGATCCCAGGACCCTGGGATCATGACCTGAGCCGAAGGCAGACGCTTAATGACTGAGCCACCCAGGCGCCCCGTTACTTATTCTGATTTCTAAAATTATAATGACTCTCAGTTGAAAAATGGCATTCAGTTCATACTTACACGGATTTTGGGCGAAATAGAAGTTGTGTGACTTTCTTCTCTTGAATTCCCCACCCCCATTATTAAGAAATATAACACCTTTTATGTTTGAAATGTTTAACAGAAGTGTTTAAAATTTATGGTAAGGAAGTTGATTGGCATAACATAAAATTTACCATATTAACTATTTTTTAGTTATTTACTAATTTTTTATTTAATATAAAATATTACAATTTACTAATTGTAATATAATTACACTAATTATATTTAGTGTACAGTTCAGTAATATTAATAAGTATATTAATAAGTACATTGTTGAACAACCAATCTCCAGAACTTTTCATCTTGTAAAACTGAAACTCTATACTTGTTAAACAACCCTCCCTTATTCTCCCATCCCTGTAACCCCTGGGAACCAGGATTCTATTTCTGTCTATGAATTTGACAACTGTAGGTACCTCATATAAATGGAATCATACAGAATTGTTTTTTTGTGACTGGCTTATTTCACTGTGATGTCCTTGAGGACATTTGATGTAGTACATGTCAGAATTTCCTTTTTTTTTGTAGAGAGAGAGAGAAGGAAAGAGGGGGGCAGAGGGAGAGGGAGAGAGAATCTTAAGCAGGTTCCATGCCCAGCATGAAGCCTGAGATCATGACCTGAGCTGAAATCAAGAGTTGGACACTTAACCAACTGAGCCACCTAGGTATCCCAGCATTGTTCCTTTTTATTATTGAATATTCCATTGTATAGTTATACCAAATTTTATTTACTTTTTAAAGATTTTTTTAAGTAATCTCTACACTCAGTGTGGGGCTTGAACTTAAAACCCTGAGATCAAGAGTCATCTACTCTACTGACTGAGCCAGCCATGTGCCCCTCGGTATACCAATTTTAAAAATTAATTCATCAGTTGATGGGTATTTGGATTGTTTCTACTTTTTGGCTGTTATATTTATCATCTCATCATTTTTTTCAAAAATTTATTTATTTATTTTAGAGAGAGAGTACGAGCTGGAGGAGTAAAAGGAGAGGGAGAGAGAATCTCAAGCAGACTCTCTGCAGAGCATGGAGTCCTTATGCAAGGGCTCCATCTCACAACCCTGAGATCATGACCTGAGGCAAAACCAAGAGTTAGTTGCTTAACAGATTATACCACCCAGGGGCCACTATCTCATCATTTAAACATTTTCTCCTTTGTATATTTAATATATACATATGTTTAATATAATATGTCTAAATGTAATATAAATATACCTATATTGAGGGATAT